GATTTAAAAGTGTGAAGTTTGACTTCTTCAGCTCTGCTAGAACCTGATGCGGGTACACAAAGTTCAAATAATTATTACCGTTGTGTGTTCACAAAAAAAAAGCCATTTCTTCAGATTTTCAAAACGATTCCTGTGGAGGTGTGAACTGCATGTGATGCCCCTCTTTTAAGAAGTGGTTTAGACTTTAACAATTGCAGACATTTTTCATCTAAGATTTTGTTACAAAGGCAACATTTGGAAAGTATAAGCAGAGTAGAGAGTGTGCATATCTAAAAAATATCTAATTTACAGCTGCAGGTGGAAGTTAAACAAATTATTTGCACAATGTACTAGCTCTCAATAAATGAAATTGAACAGGCTGACACATTGATGATATTAACATATTGATTATTATGAGACACTGCAAATTTGATTTGTCATATTCAGTTCATTGGTAGTTATTTTTAATATATATTTGTATTGTGGATCTATGGATTTTTACCTGATTGTTGGACAGGTGAAATTTTTTTATATAGGATAACAAGAGATACTAATACTATGTTACCTTTTTAAAATGCTTATCTTTAAGTCAAAGCAATAAGAACATAAATGAGCAAAATCTAAATACTCAGATTATGTGTATACTTACCATGTGTGGGTACACTGTGATATTTTCATTGCATCTGCCAGTTACACGTTGCAAGGTGTTGTGTAAGGCATGGGCGATGGCATACACAGCAGAATAAACAGAGAAAGAGAAAGATGGGTCTGCAGTGATGACATCTTCTGCACTCAAGCTGCTGCAGTTGCAAACCTGATTACACAACATATCTTGTTCTGCATTTTCACAATAGCTCTGGCTTTTGGAAGAATAGATAAAATCATTGAAACCAGGTATTGTCACTACTGGCTGAGACACTCCAAGTACAGTCCCAATATTTTTGATTCCTTTCTTCTTGGGGAGCTTCTTGTTTAAGGACCATGCATCCCCTGCTATCCACACCTTCTTGGTGACATTTAGTTGTATTGCTGACTCAATGAGAGATTCAGCAGCCATTTTTTGAGCAAAAACAATAATGATACCTATCCTCTGTGCCTCTATCTGTCTGAACATTAGGGAGTAATTTGTATTGTCACTGAGGTCTTTACTGTATGCCAGGCAAATCTCAGTGTCTTTAATCTTCTTCATGAACAACTCCAGTCCATCAATGCCATAATCATCATCACTGTTAAGAAACGCAACCCAGCGCCAGTTGAAGTGCTGAACAATGTCAACAATAACATTTATGACGTCTTTATTGGCATGCACTGTTCGTAGGAGAGATGGAAATATGTTTTTCTTTGACAAGACAGAACTAGAAGATCCATAACTGACCTGTAAAAAACAATACTTTTTAGTGACAAATTCTCAAATATAACACATTTTACAATGAATTGATCATAACATATACTGATAGAAGTATGCTTTTAATGTCTTGTTTTGACAGTAAACAAATTTGAACTTGCCATAGGAATGAGATCCATCATTAACAGTGGGGCGGCAGTCAGGGCCTGAGTGCTTGTAAAAGGACCGACCACTGCCATCACTTTGGACACATTGGACTGTGCTTGTTGCTTGTGTGGTTCACCCCAAGGTTGGATCAAGCCGTTGACTGACATGAGTTTGAAGATATTTGGAAAATTCTGTGTAGATGAGCAATGATCAAATATCTCATAGCCGAGAGATACATTTGGCAGGAGGTTGTTAGAATTATTGATTTCCTCCACAGAGAATCTCATCAACTGAAACATTCGATAATTTGGGAGAAGGAAGGGTTGACTGTGAACCGAGAAAACACAACAGGAGTTTACTTACTGTGGAATTTACAAAGAATTTGTTTCAGTGTGGCTTCAGAGCCTCTTATTTGCAACAGCTCTGGAATGTACAAATATGTCTGTTATACCGTGCATTCTGCAGTAGTTAAAAGCCATCCACTCAGATTTATTGTGAGACTTACCTGGAGCAGTGAATTGCTTCTGGTCTGTCATGATAAACAGCGGCACTATGATGAATATCAAAAAGTCCACCTATCACATATTCTCCTTCCAGCTGAAACTCTGAGGCTGGGGCAGTGCATTGAGCCAAGGCATGTAGAAAAGCTCCCAGGAGACACAGCAAAGCAAGAAAATGTTCCATTGTTGCAATTACAAATCTGATGAATGAACTCTAATGGAATTTGCCTCAGCCTTTAGTAAGTCATGGGACTCTGGTGATGGCAAAGCCCCAGTGAAAATTTCCATGCATGTGGGAATGAAATACATAGCATTATTAATGGTAGGAGGATATACCCAAATCAGAATGCAAAACTAATCTAATTTGCTGCTGCACAGAGCCCCTGTGATGTGGTTTAACGATCATCACGAACCACAAAGATAAATGTCTTGACCATGAATATTAATACATTTGGTAATCCTTCTAATCAGTGTTCAAATTCCGTCTTTTCCTCCAGGTTCACTGTGGTAATGTATGCGAGGCCCCTTCTGCACATTAACACTCCAGTCACCACCACCTCAGTTTAATAGCCACTCTTTACCAAGCCCAGTTGTGAAGTGGAGTAGTATGGTGTTGGTCTTGCACTTTGGATCTTTCCCACCACATTTGGGGGCAGACCCCGATAAGTTGGACTGCTCAGTAGGTAAACATTCAGACACTACAGTTCTGGACGGAGATGAATCACCTCTTCCCCAGCTTGAGAGAGGTCTCTTCGGAGAATAAGCTGCCACAGCCCCACTGCCAGGATATTTGATTATCTCTGCGTACCAGGACTTTGCCTGCCATCAAGTGAAAAGCAGGATCAAAGACAGACCTTGCAGATGTACCCTCTCCGGGAAAATATCAGTTCCACTGGAGAAAATACAGACAGGAGCATTTTGGGCCATGAATGCGCTGGCACATCCATTCCTGGAGGTGGGTTATGGAAAATAACGGGCATTAGGCCTTCACCCTGGGGGCAAAGAGATCCACAACTGCCCTGCCGAAACTATCCTGTAACTGAACCCCTGCACCCCTGGAGATGAGGTCCGCTCACACATGGGTGACTGTTAAGTGACAGAAAAGGAACACTGCACCACAGCAACAGGGAGCAAGACACTTTCAATAAGAAACAACTGTTGTATTGTCTGTTCTGATCAGAACATGCTGGCCTGTTAGAACCAAATAACAATGTTTTAGGGCTAAGAAAGTAGCGAATATCTCAACATACAAGATTACAGTTAAGTTACAGTCAGTTAACCATAACAAAACAACAGCACATTAACAGAATACACAGCTCTTGAAGTCCAATAGATAAACTGCGGGGATAAACACTCACTTAAAGTGTATCATGATGGTTTCTTTCTTGTGACATCTTCAAAGTGAATGCTTAGGCTATTCCTTCAGTTTTTCAGTTCAATTTTCGGGCTCTGTTATTAAGCCCTTTGACTATGTGACATAAAAAGTTAATAACAGCGACTTCACCAAGAAGTTCCCGCTTGGGGTTCCTTTAAGACTTTGGGCCCCGGGGCCTAGGCCCCGTCCGCCCGTTTGGTAATCCATCCATGGTAGCTCCAGATAGTCAGCGTCCAGAACCCACTCTCTGTCTCATTGTCGCACAGAGCCCAAAGCCTCACATCACCACAGATCATTTGCCTTTTAAGGGGTGAATAGAGGCGTTTTCATGCCACGTGGGGCCTTATATCCCATTCTACGTGTGTCGTACAGAGGGGATCTTGAAAGGGAACGTGACCTAATGTCCTATCAGCCAGGTCAGGCTGGTCTCATCCAGCATTCGTAGCTAAACCTACAAAAAATGATGCGCTGTGATTTGTAGGTATCCCAGAAAATGATTTTGTATGCTATACCCGTAATCATGAACGAGGAAGCATAAAGACCGCAAAAGCCCACACAAGGCGGGTGGGAAGGGTGCTGGGTGGATCCAACAAACACGGATCTCTCACTCGTTATACGATGATATGTTGATCAGGTACAAAGTTAGTAAAAGTGGGTTTATAACCTATTTCTAAACTCAAACCAGTATGGGCTATGCGTTTCAAAGTTCAACAACTGTGTTTTGTTGCATTGTTCAAGATATTGTCTCCATTCCGTCATTACGTGCATTATGTTCAGCAAAGTGTTTTATCTTGGTACATCATTTTTATAACAACTCAACTTTCTGTTGCAGTAAAAGTTTAACAATGTAATGACCCTTTAAAAGAAAGATATACTATAAGAATGATCTCAACAAGTTCAGATGAGATTGTTAGATCACACAGGATATTCACAAGCAAATACACACAAATTAAATTAATTCAACCCAATATATTTGGCTTGTGCTAAATGACCACCTCCTCTTATAAATGATTGCATGAGTTACCACTGGCCTGCACAGGTGATTTGAAATAGGAAAATGAACATGATAAATGGCCGGGGCTCTCACCAGAATTTGAATTCCTCCCGACTGAAGCACAGAACTCCTTGTTCTGCTTTGTAAAGTCAAATCAATCTTTAGTTGTCACGAACATTGTTATACAAGTACCATGTGCAGTGACATGCCACATTGCCATGGTCCAAGATTGTAACATTTAAAAAGTCTTTGTGCTAACTAAAACACCACATCAAGACCAAAAAACTGTCTAACAAAAGGTATTTTAATGTTGATTTATTTTCCAGAAAATGCCCCCATTACTGTGGGATTTTGTGACACTATTCTGAAAGGTTTTCACAATCTATACTAATAGTTTAAGTATATAATAAAAGTTAATGGACAATGAGGTGGGTACAAAACGTCACTATAGTGTTTGGTGCAAGCAGTCATTGCTGTGATATGTTTGGGGGTGACTGCTAAGTGGAGAGCAGGGCCGTCCTTCAATCAGAGGATCGGTGGTTCGATCCCCGACTCTGCATAGTTGCATGTTGATGTGTCCTTTAGCAAGACACGTAACCCCAAAATTGCTCCCGTAGTTGTGCATGATCTGAATTGTAAGTCGCTTTGGATAAAAGTGTCTGCTAAATGACTGTAATGTTTGCACATTCATTCCAAGAGGTTATTAACTTTATAATCAACATTGTGGCTGGTACTGTTACATTTTGTTTCCTGTATGTTAAGATGAAGTTTGACTTTGTATGTAATGTTATTTTCTTTGTCTCTGTTGTCCATCTTAATCTTAAGTAATGTACTTCTGACACATTTTTAAGAATATAATTTCGAATCCATGAGGAAACGGAGGCAATAAACTCACAGAAAAGTGCAGTTAGGTATCATATTTAGAAAGGAAGTTAATCATTGCTTATGCTTTACAAATGTACCCCAATTGTAATCTTAAAATTGTTACAGTAGAGGTAAGAATAAATATACAATGACAATTGAGGAAACTTAAGACATACAGGTATATTTAAGATCAAAGAGTATTCTAGCATGTAGAACTTTTGTCATGATATGGCGAGATGAGCGTTACATCAAAAAACAAATACATTCCCTTTTAATATCTTTATTGAATTGACTTTATGTAATTTATTAATACCTTTCAGTGTTATGGATACTCCTTACAATGTTGAATGAAACACACTGGATTCGGTCGAGTACAATACAATTATAGATTTACTTGGTATCAACAATAATACAGCAATAATACATCACAAGTCATTTCTCAGGTAATATTTTATTGTTTCTATTGTTTTGTCAAAAAAGTTATTAAAAGTATATCTTGGTCCAATGGTCTTCTTTATTTATTAACCTGATTCTGGTTCAGATGAAAACATAAGCTCATGCTGTATTTGGTGTCTCTCTGTGCCTTACACAATGGCTTGCCAAGTCTACTATCATGCATCACTGAAAACAACGAGTTTCTGCTTTTAAACATTGCTTTGTTGGTATATTTAGATGTGTTGTACCTTAGCTGTGTGCAGTTTTTATTTTATACAGTATATTCTTCATAAATTCCACCACACACAACAGCTGTTTCTCCTGTGTAAATATGGTAGTTTTAACCTAAGCTAAGCTGATAAGTAGTTCAGAATTTTTAGCCATTTTTTTTATTGGTTTATTTGTTAGGGACAGTGCACATTAATAAAACATTCCTTTAAATGCGGCAGAGTTAGCCAAGATACTATTTTTCATCTATAGTCCCTGGATCTATAGTCCACTCAATTGCAGAAGTTTAGGTTTTTAAATTACATGAGTGCAAAGATTTATGTTGCTCACTAGAGAATTTATTTTACAGTTGAACAGAGATGAATTAATACTTGGAAGGCCAGAAGGGTCTTGCATTAAGTTAAGGGCATATTACTTTAACTCATGCAACTTTATGTGTAATTTGCTAGCTAATTTAGCTGAATATTTGGCTAAATAACTTAAAAGTAAACCACCACACTTACTATCCACTCCGTCTTTCAAAAAACGTCCAACATTTTGGGAAATACACCTATTCACTTTCTTGCTGCAAACTAAATGAGAAGATTGATACCGCTCTCCACCTGTGAATAGTATCACTCTCCTCACCTAACTTCTCACAAGAATATGAAAAAGCATATTTCCAAAAATATTGAATTAATCCTTCATGAGACCTGCACAGTTAAGTATCTTCAAAAGTGACGTATCTTAAGTGTTACAATGAGAAGCAGGCAGCATATACATAAAGGCTGCTGTATACTCAGAATCTAGGGACATGTTGCCCACCATCTCCGAAATAACTCTTGCCACAATAATTCAAAGTGTGTCTTGTTCTTGCTCATCAAGGCTTGTTTATTTATATAGTCCTCAAAATAAAAATTTACAAAAAAACAAGCATAAAGCATTAGTTTACAACTCTTGGAAGAAAAAACTAAAAGAGAGATTATGATTAAAGGCACATCAGCTTTTCAGTATGTAGAGATGCATATTTACTGGAAGCGGCTACTGGCTAATTGTTTTGGTGTAATTCTGAATGAGACCTTGGAAGTACTCTTGCGTGTTTCTGTGGGGTTGAAAAATCATGATGTAGCATTTTGGGAGGAAATACCACAACAGAAAGGAGTACAGACTGGAGAGTATTGCCAGGGCATTAAGTGTTTGGATGTACTTGCCATGGTAAAGTAAGTATTCAGTGGCAAAGATGATCCAGGTGAGGATCAGCAGGAGTAAGCAGAAGGTTATTGCTTT